GCTAGATTTTTTACCCTATCGAAAAAAATTGTCTTAAATAACAACATATGAAAGAAGACTTTTAAGAAAAGGTTTTCAAGCCGGGAATAAACTCTGACTGAGCATATTAATATTTAGTGATTGATTTAATTGAAATGGACATAAGCAACTTTAAAAAACATCATGATAATTACCAAATAACTTTTTCAGCTGACCTATTGGGATGCATTCTGCCTGGCGTTGTTAGAAGAGCTCGAAAATCGTGGTGGAACACCTCGAGAAGAACTGCGTGCCTGGCAAACACTTCTTCACATTCTAAACGAAAGCATGTTAGCCGGCTATTTGGATGCAAAAAGTAGTAGTAGAAAAGACGGCGAATAAAATTCTTAGTCACGTCGATGATGGAAATCAGAGGAGTATTGACGTAAAAACAACTCGAGAACAATGTGGAATGTTCATTGTCATGTACATTTGGTATAGATCCATGTCTTTAGAATAGTTTATGTAATAGGTATATTTTCAATGTTCTTATTCTTTTCACTCGGGTGATGCCGTACTTTTTAAAAAGTTCTTATGTTTTTTTCATAAAAATAGAGAAAACACTGCTTGAATTACTTGATGTTAGATTGAACAATGGTGTCGCTGCGGTCAAAATAAAGTTATATAACTATTTAGGTTGTGGGATTGAATCGTTTAGTTTTTTAACTGCGCGGAGTGCTACCACGAAAATCAGCAGCAATTCCAATACTTTTTCCATCAGTTCCTGCAATTAGATAGTATTTTTTACTTACTACTTACGTTCATTTCCACAGTTTATAGCAAATTTCAATGGTCTACTGAAGGAAGAATCTCTGACACCTCGACTTGCTGATCTACAATGAATTTCACCCTTTGAAAAATCCCCAACTTTAATTTTTTTCCATTTTTCAAACACTCAAGTATTTCAAAGCTTTTTCAATTTCTGAAAAACAATTTAGTTGAAATACACTGTTTTGACAGTAGATTTTCTAATCTTCTTACTGCTTAAGCTATTCCCTAAGAGATCAGCTCAGCTTTCTGGCGAAGGGACACGATCAACACAGGATAACAGTACAGAGAACAGGCTGTTGTCGTGGACGGTGTCGAGATGATAGAGTATAATGGGTGCGAAAAGGAATGAATTCCTTCTAAGACATCAAACATCAGGAAACAAAGTACGCCTTAGAGAAGCTATCACAAACAACCTAGTTCTACGAAAAGACTTCTTAGTTCGATCCCTACGACAGTACCCATGTGACTTAATGACCTGTGACCCTTGAAAATCGCTTAATTTGTGAAAGAATTCGATCTATTGGAATGCATTAGGCGAATGGTTGATTCGTAAGTAATGCCGGTATTTCTAAATCATAACAAACACATCCATTTTCGTAAAATCATGGAGTAAATGATAATGATTGAGACAAATACCACGCCGTGAATAAACAAATAAACAAATAAATAATTAGTTAATAGAGACCAGGTTATATAGTTAACTATGACTTTCAGGAGCCACAGACCCGAATTCTGATTGAAGTTTGTGAAAGAACATCGGCATTTTCCTGGGGAAGCATGGAGAAGGCATTTTGGGGAGGTTGGACGGCGTTCACAAGGAATGTTGGCCTACGCCTTTGAATCATTTAGAAGTGATAAGATGTCAGTGGTTTTATTGGCCGTTACAGAACTGGTTACACATTCACGTCACCAATAGTTTTACCCACAGCTTCTAGATCTGTCTGAAATTCGCTAACTTCAGCCCCAGACTGGGTACTGGATCGAACCGATCGTATGAATGGGGCTGATCCCTAGAGAGTATAGCAAGGGCACATATAATGGATCAAGGATAAAGGATAAAGTTTTCGGCAACAATCAATCCCTTTTTAAGATGTCTCTTCCCCCCCNCCCCATTCGACTTCCATTTAGAATCGTAGTAGCGTAATGAGTGCTTATGTGGCCTATACGATGACTTGCGGCGGACAGCCGATGGACAAGTCAGGACTTTGATCCTCCCAGACGAGTCTGGGATCAATTAACCAGCCCTGGAGGGATGGAAGATTTGGTGGTTGCATCTGGTGATTATCGACTTGGGAGTCAATCCCAGGACCATGCGTCCGTGATAGTGCGCTACATGCCACTACACCAGTTTCACCTAATATTATAGTGACTTACAATCAATATTTGAGAAATATAATAGATTCTAACGAAATCATGTAAAATCCTATTGATTCCAAACTCTGTCCCCAGTCTCAAGTTAGCGCTCAAGCTGTGCTTCTGTCTCTTATCAGATTTATTTATGGTAGGACGAAAAATATTATTTTCGATTGTACCTAATTTTGAATGAATAATAGATAAAAATACGACAAATCCTAACGAGTTCCGCAACATTCCTTTCATCCCAGACAGTCTTCTGACTTCAACTGAAAGATGACGTTGAGTTATTGTTTGTTACCAGATTTATTTATGGTATACTGAATAATATTATTCTATTGAAAATTGAGTTTTGGAGAGCATTTACGTAGGATATTCGACAAAATGGTATGAATAACTACGAGAATCGCGCTGTTTACAGTACATATGACTTCTGCAAGGACTCTTTTCTGAAAAAGGCAACATTGAATTAGGCTTGTGCAATCTGTGGCTTAAAATTTTTTCCGATAGAAGCTGAAGAAATACGAGTGAAAAATAAATGGCGCCTCGATCACATTGAGGAGTAATACAGAAATTAGGAAATGGAATCATTCGAGAGATAAAATATTTAAAAGAAGTGAAAATAACAAGTGAATCTGACAGAAACAAAGGCTGAACAAGCAGACGAATCTTAAACGAAAGCAACTAAACATTTCAATCACGATGTAAGCTCTGGGAAGAGTTAGGAGGGTAGTTGACAGAGAAATTGCAGTTCAGTTTGAAAAAAAGGTTCAGGAAATTGCAGTTCAGTTTGAAAAATAAGTTCTCAACCCCTGCAAACGATCAACAACATTCATTCCTCAGGGTATAGAGACGCCTGGACAATAACTTACATCTGTAAAAACACTGTAGACCGCAGAATATTGCTCGTATTGCAATATCGCCGCTAAGCTGGAAAAGAAGCTGAATGCACAAAGTTTTCCAAAATCTAAGGTCAAAACCAGCTTTGGTTTTTTCTCTCGGAAAGGTGACTAGAACATTTTTGAAACGTTGAATTCCAGAAAGCTGATTCGATTATCATCAATGGTGGATTTTCTGCGGTTTCATCCAAAAATTGTATGCATGGCTTATCCCGACAAATTTACGAATACTATCGGCTGTGGGCTTTTTGATAATGTCCGTAGAGGAAACTCGCTAGAACTGCAAAAAGCCTATCAAAATGTTGGTAATATTTGAGGAGATTCTGTGCTCTCTCCAAATGTCCTTTTTCCTTCCATAAACAAGAAACACAGGCGTACTGATCACAACACAATGTCCAATGTTTACCTATGAATAGTTACATGGTTTGTAACCCTATCCATCACTTTTGTTTAGGTGGTAGAGCGGTGGCATTAATAACCAAAGCACACAGTTGGAATGTGCTAAGGTTACTATAATACAATAAGCTTGTTCCAAACTTAGTAAACACTATGTCCTTAGGGTCACATAAATAAAATATGTCGCATATGTAACAGTAGAAGTTATCAAAACAACATTAGATAACTGGTTTATACTTCGCGCCAACGTGGCAACTGTTTTTATGCCCTCGAAATGATGTCACGAAGAAAGCCGTGGAATGTGGGACATGAAAACAAGAGAGCATCGAGAACAAACAAAGTAAAATTTCAAAGATCAAGCAAAAACTAAGTGTTAAAAAAAAGTTTAGGCTACCGTTGTCCTTACCGAGCTTTCCCTGCACCCCATTTTTAACACTTGCCCCAATAGGTCCGGAAGATGGGATCCGCGGCAGTAAATGCTGTTATTGTGAATGAGAATCTACCATTGAACATGGGTCACTTGATCAAGCCAGAAGGGTTTCTCAGCGAATTGAGGGCTAACAACTTGGCTTGATATTCCATAAGCTAGCCGGCAGAGAGCTACTGAAGCGGACGCCCACGTCAATTGAAAAAGGTGAGACAGTAAGCCAGTAAAAACAGAAGTAATGACTATAGCAGTAGGTACAGCTCTGGATGATGTAGTAGGTACCTTCACATCTTCCAAGACTTTCGTTGAAAACCTGTGAGCTTGGTTTTCTGAGTTGAATTAACAGTAAGATTCGTGATTTCTGATGGTACTGGCTGAGTTTGTCGGTAAGATCTCCCTTATTCCTCGCAATCCCGTACTCCCACTTGAGTATAATGCATTTTGTCGATTCTCCACAAGTGATTCGCCTGTAATCTGACATTTCATATTACATTTATTTTGAAACTTGTAACTATCCTCATTTATCATTTATTGAACAGAATGGTGATTCAGGCAAAGTCATGGCTGTGCTTCATGGTCCCTCTACATGACTCACCTCACCATCATAGAGAATGGCGACAAACTGGTTTTCAATAGAAATACCATAAATTATTATTTGTACTGGTATTTGAACAACATTAAACGACGTTGAATAGGAAGTTCAAGGATTAACATGGTCAAGGATCAAATCGATGGCATTGAGTAAAGGCGGTACGTCGACATACAGATGTTTTCAATGGAA